TTTCCAATTCGGTGCAAGTAATCCTCGCTGTAGGACGGGGTGCTTCCGTAGATCATTCATTCCAACTGCAGTTAGACTGTATAACACATCATGATGTTATCAGTCACTTGGACAATTCACCTATCACCATCACTAATATGCACCTTCATATACATTCATTTATTTACTGTACTAGGTATATGTACGTACATTGTTATATATCAAGAGTATGGTGTTTTTTGTTTTTTTCTTTTACTTATCTTTCTTTATTCTATCTCACCCTGTCCTGTTTTGAGCTGCTATAATGTGCAAATTTTCCAACTGTGGGATCAATAAAGTTTTATCTTATCTTATCTTATCTTATCTTATCTTGTCTTGTCTTGTCTTATCTTATCTTAAGTAGTGCTGCTTCACAATGTAGATTTATTTCAACATAAATGCACATCTCCACAAGTATTCTTTACAACACATCCTTTTCAACTAAATCAGAATCTAGGCTATATTTTGTTCATATAGGTGCAGTGAAATAAAGGAATAAAGAAAATTTTCAATTAAAAATATGAAAAAGTGTTGGAATTTCTAATAACACCATCATCTCTTTTTCCACTACAAGAAAAACTTACCGATGACATGTTATGAGGTCCGAACATTTTCCACTACGATTGCTGCGAGCGAACGCTGCACAGTGACACGGCATTGCGGGTCTGTTCAATGGTTGAATGACTGTGTCAAGATGGAGTCGTGTTTAGCATACCCAAAGTCATGTGATAGCCCCTCTAGTAAATATACCTCATTGTTTCAAACACTGAGGTGTGCGCTAACGTGTTACGTCAGAGCACAAAACAACAACAAAGAAAAACAAAAAGAAAAAAATACGAGAGAGGCGGAGGCAGCCCTGGGGGTYTGGCAAGCCATTGTATCATATAAATGGCCGGCAATGAAGGCAAAGCCGTACAAGTGATCTGATCAATAACTAACAAGTTATACCGGCCCTTGCGGCCCAAACATCAGTCCGGCCCACCGGGAGAAGTCCAGATCGTCCCGATTGGCCACGCCGGGCCGGCTACATGAWATAGAAAAATCAATAGCAAAAGAGTCTGGTCCCACCCCAATTTTTACATGTGACGTTACAGAGACCCTTCACTCCCAGTTTAGAAAAAAATAGTTTTGAATTCAGTTACACTGGAAGTCAATGTGAGTTTGGGTTTGTGCACTTTGATAAAAAGCGTGCATACATTATGTCCACAACTTTTATAGTACCTTTTTTTAATCTCTCCACATTCAACAAAGTTCTTTACAGTTTCTTATTGGCATACTCATGCACACACTCATAAATATAAAATAAATAAATAATATATTTACACACTATTTACAGCACTTTTTTATGTTCACACTTCTACATCAGTGGGTAATGTGTCTTGCTCAAGGACACCTCAGCATTCTGCAGGGATTGGGGATTGAACTCTCAACCCCTCTCATCATAAAGTGACCACCTTACTACACTCATTAGGCCAAGCCCTCCCCACTAAAATGTCTTGTTTTAATATTGTTAAGTAGACAGACATGCCATTGTTTTGTTGTATAAAATTTACAAGAAGGGTAAAAATTGTGAGAAATAGTGAGTTTTCAAAAAGCTTGAACTGTTGTAATATCCCACTACCTAAATTGAGTTTGAGCAGTTTTGTTATGCAGCATGTTTTTAACTATGAGTTATTTCAAAGCTGCAGCAGGAGGAGAAAAGTAATGTCTGAGACAAGCTGGGAAATGATAAAAAAATAAGGCCACTTTAGTGATTCTGAATCAGCACATTGCTTAAAGTGAACTTTGATTGTCACTTTGTATAATATAATTGAGCACAAAAATGATGTAAAATGCACCTTTGACTTTTACCCAAGTGCCAAACTCATTATTCTAACAGTTTGTCGGCTGCTTGTCAGTGAATCAGCTAGCTCTTCAAGAGTTAGGTGTTAATAAGGAAGTATCAAGTTTGAAAAAAAAAAGAAAAGAAAATCTAAACATTTAGAAGGCTTGGTTATTTTTATGTAAATAGTAAATAAAGACAGTTTTAGTGGGGGGAAATGTTCACTAGTAAGATATTTTAAAGTAGACTCCTCCTTTTAAACCCATATGTAGTAGAATAACAGAATGCCCAGACCAGGAGGGGGCTGAGTCAGAGTAAAAGGCTTGAGTGATGGAAACAAGAAAGTGTTTGAAACACAATCTTCTTTGGACTCTGTGAGTTTGACCCCCTGTTACATTCTCACCTGTTGATGCTTCATCAATCAGCCCCTGCCCCCAGGCCAGGAAGGTGTCAGCAGCAAACACCCTTGGATAACAGTCTGCCTGTGTGAGCTTTTATGTCAGAACAATGGCAGCTCAGACGGACAATTTATAGTTAAAAGTACCTCTGTGTGCTCCTCTATTTCCAAAGTGATTAATTGTTAAAAATAGAGAGTACAGTGAGGACGATTCCTTCATGTCTTAATGCTCACAGCGTGACGTTACTAAACCTTTTATTTCATAACTACTAATCTTTAATCAGATATAAGAAATTATTATTATTTCTATTGTTAATTATTAAGCATAATCAACTGAGTAAAATTAGCAAACAAATAAAACCATAACAATAATTGACTTGTGACTTCATGTATCAGGACATAATAAAAAGGTCCAGGTTCTAAACAGATCCAAGTCTAGCCTCAAGTATACAATAATGCACAACTGATTACATTATATCATTAAATGTTAAGCCAAAAACAAAGCCAGGACAGAAAACTATATCTGTAAAGCTACTGAGGGTTCATCCTCTCTGCTTCCTGAGAGTTTAGGAGGGAAAGTATCAGCCATGTGCTACTGATCAAATATACTGCTTGTCATCTGTCTGATCACCCTATAAAAGCAGAAGTTATGTCAATTTTCTGTTCTGGGTTATAATGGGTGTGTCTTATCACAATGTCAAGCTGGAAAAGCATCAGAAGTTGCTGCCAATCTAGGGGTAATATATCATTTTAAAACTGTTTGGAGTCCATCATTCTACAGAGAGAAAAAAATATTCACAAGTGGAAAACATTTAGGACAGCTCGCAAATTCAACTTAAGGTCAGACCGTGCAATGCTCAGAGAAACTGCAAAATTCAAGGCGCTCCTACTAAAGCTCTACAGGTCTCAATTAGCAGGTTAAAAGTCATTGAGATGACCATAAACTCCTGTGTAGACCAAAGGATAAAGTCAGGTGTGATGCCACAGAATGATACCAAACATAACAGTTTAAACAACATATTTAACAGAATGGTTGAAAAATATGGTAAATGGACTGTACTTGTGTAGCATCTTTCTACCCAACCAGGACACTCAAAGCTCTTCATACTACAATCTGTGTCCTCATTTTCCCATTCACACAGCACTCTACCAGATCTCATACAAAGCTAACATGTCTTCTATGGAGACTAATCAGTGCCAGTCACATTCATACACTGATGGGACAGACATCAGAGGCAGTGGGATTAAGTATCTTGCCCAAGGACACAACAACTGAGACAGCTGGACGGGGGATCAAATCGGTGACCTTCCGGTTCCAGGATGACTCCCCTAAACACTCTGCCACAGCCCCCCCTCAAAAAAAAAATCCGGGTGCATTGATGCAGCAGTCAAAGTCCCTCAACCTGATTGGATCTGGGACAATGTATTAAAGGAAAGTGAGCCAATGACATTATGCCCCATAAAGTTTCACAGAAACAAGATCATGGAGCAGACTTGGTTTTTCACATAATTTTTCAGTTTGGACTTAAACTTTGATTAATGAATAATGTCTTGTCTGGAATCTTGTTTTGTGTTTTTGTTTAGCTGAGCTTAGATTTGAATAACTGTAGACTCTGGTAAAGACCTGATCACTTTTAGTATGTGGTTATACCTAAAACCCTCAAACTAAAAGAGGCTTTGTTTCCCCCCTTAATTTTTATGGATTTGGTTAGTTGGTCCCTTAATACATTTTTGGAACAATTTTTTTTCCATGAGAGGACATGTCAATTGTGAGACCTCTGTTCTGGATTTATATTTGCATTCTGATCACTGGGCTTCAATAGATTGGCTTGGCGGTCTCCTGATGTTCTGCAAAACAGTGTTGGTGGCTATCCAGGCCATTTTCCTGGCTGCCTGACCAATATGAAGGCTTGCCATGCTCTCAGCACTCTGACTCAAGCCCTGTGCGAGCTGGACATGGTCTGCAAGCGGTTCTGCTGAGCGTCGCGGTCTGGCTGTGGTTCCTGGACTTTGCTGGCCAGATGGAATTGATCTAGGAGAAGCTGGGAGCTCGGCTCAGTGGAATTGTCTACAATATTTGTCTGATTGGATTCGCCACATTGAGCTGTGCCACCGGACATGAAGGCAGATGAAAAATTATTATTGTCTGCTTAACCGAAAACATTTTCTCTGTTCCCAAACAACCGATTACAGATCTCCCCAACCCCACCACCACCACATGGCCTTGAAGGCAGTGGGTCTAATTTCTCCTGGTGTTTACGTCGACTTGTGGCTCCRCCCCCACCTCACCCCCATCTCACTCCATTTAATCTGATCTACCGAGGGTCAATCTGGAGCTGCACAGAATGAACAATTCAACACCAGTATTCTGAACTTTGGCTGACCTATGGGTTTTTCTTTTGGGGGGCTGGATTCTTCTGACTCATTCCCTCTAAACTCACTTACTCCTCTGGCTAATAAATGTGTCTAGCTCTGCAGAGTTTTTTTTATAACCACCATAGTGAATCACATTTCGTTGATGATGGGTTTTTCTTTTTCCTCATCTACCCATTGTGTGGTATTTCCGTTTTTTTTAAAGGTAGCGTTTATTCCCCCATGTTTTTGTCATGTGTGTCTTCTTGAATGGGTGTTCTTAAATGTAATTTCATTGTGCTCTGTACAATGACAATAAAGGCATCATCAATCAAACAATCATATCTGTGTGTTTTTGCTTCAGGAAACGTCTCAGTCCTTTTGTGATTATTTCTTTCTTTTTCATTGCAGCCATGTCAGACGTTGAGGAGGAATATGAGTGAGTTGAAAAGGACCATTTTATAGCACTTAAACAAACTTCCTTAGTCATCATGGGTACTGATATTTCTTGCTTTTTTTCCAACTCCTTTCTACAGGGAGGAAACAGAAGGTAATTACGTGCTTTCCAATTTGCTCCATGCATTCCACAAGCACAACTTTGAAAGTGCAGTTTTTGTTTCTAATTTCCTGTTTTTTCCCCCACAGAAGTTGAGGAGGAGGAAGCTGAACAGGAACAAGGAGGTAAGGAAGTTCATGAAAGTTTACTTGTTTAATCTAGAATATATAAAGTGTTGAGTCAAATCTTTTTGTTTAAAAATTTCTACCTGCATTATTAGGATAAATCAGAACCTTTAGTTGTTTAAATTGGAAAAACCTGTTGAAAACCATGCATGCCTTCTCTATGAAGCTGTAGAATTCCTCTCTTTCCCATTAGTGTGGGTAAGGGGTTACACATTCGTTTTTCAACTTCTTCTTTATTCCACTTTCTCAATGGATGCTCACCATGTTGATTGTGGACTGCAGAGCAGCAGGAGTACCAAGGTAGGAAACACATCATGAGTCCCACCTTTAATCACTAACATTATATAACCTGACGCAGGCGGAATATCTTTAGTAACTGTGTCTTTATAAGAAGAGAACTTAAAACCCCTCCTGAATTTTTAGTTTTGATACCTAATTTGTAAGTTCAATAAGCACTGAAATGATTTTACAGCAAATCTGAATTTGATGCCTCTAAAGGTGATGAAGAATCAAGACTCCATCTGTGGAAGATATAAATGCTCTTTGAATGATCTGAGTTTAGAAAATAAGCTGTTTAAGTCTGACAGGAGCTATTTCAAATTGTGCTAGGACCAAAGCAGCTAAAAACTAATTCCCATCTCAAATATTTCGTTACGGCTCACGAAAAGGCAATTCTATTAACTTTTACATCAACARGATTTCTCAGTGCACAATTATTTACATAGAATTGTTGGACTATTTGGAGACACAAAAAGCAGTAGCTACATGAGGAGATTTCATAACACTGTGTTTGTGCTGAAACGACTGTTATGTAAAACTGCCGGTGGCGTCAACATTTAAATTGTAGCATTTGCGTGGATGCAGAACAGAAGGGTGATACTGTTCTGCACTCTACCTCACTTTTGCCAAGTTGGGGGCACCGATCAGATTTAACTAATGAGCTTTATTCACCCACTGTGAGATTGTAAGGTAAGCAGGGAATTCTTATCTCATGACAAAAATACTCAAGGATGAGCAACTACTTGCCATGGCCACAATTATCATCCACTTTGCTTTCTCCATTGCCTCATTCAGCAGTATGTTTTAAAGGTGCAAAAACTCAAAACAGAAACAAAAGCTATACTTACTGGACATTTTTTTAGTTTCAAAGGTAGTCATGAATCTTTTTAGCGCTTCAAAATTTCATTAATAAAAAATATATTTTCCTTTTTAATGTGGGTGTAGATTTTGTAATTTGTTTTGATTTGACCGTACAGTTAGTTAGTACCTGCAATTAATGCCAAACTCAACCCAACCCTTTCAAGTTCAAGTTCAAGATCTTTATGATCCCAGAGGGGCAATTTGTTGTACAGCCAATAGACATAAAAACAACAAAACAAAAACATTCATACACAAAGTCATTCATACACATTTGTCTACTAAGCGCACAGAAAAATGAAATAATTCCCAGCAGTTAGTTTTTTTCAGGTGCAACAGCCCCATGAAGAGACTTTTCTGCATGAATTCATGTCTGTGTTTTAACTACTGACCCCAAAAAGTAAAAAAGCATCACTTCAAAAGTTCATTCCTGATCATAAACAATGCAAAGTACCCATAAATTATGTTTAGTAAATATTGCCATACTTAATTATTACATGTCTCATTTATATCCATCATAGACTAAAACACTTTGGTCTGAACACAGCAGAAAGACCAATTGAACAGTTCAAGACCTGCCAAAGTAGCTTCATTTTTCATGAAACTATAAACAACTTCTGTTTTGAAACATGTACCTTTAAAAGTTGTACTTTTTTTTTGCAGCCTTTGTGTGTTGTGACATTCATATTACATGGTCTAAATATTTTCAGTAGAGATTCAAACATATTGATTCACAAGTGCTGTCCTGTTTTAATTGTATATGAGCTCCAAACGCTTAAAAAAAAACAACTTCTGGAAAACATAATTTAAACAAAGCTCAGTCTCCACTGGTGAGTCTTACCTCATTATGACTGTGAACGTTGTCTTCGACCATAAATGTTTATCTCAGCCTGAACAATGAATCTTGTGTATGAATGAATCTCTATGTAATAATGAATGCTCACTTTATGTTTCATAAAACTACATTTCCCTTGAGTTACAGTTGGCGGCACATACTAGTGCCAGTGACAAGTGTGGCTCGATTCAGATTAGGGGAAATGATAGTTTTAAAGCAATACTTCAACATTTTGAGAACTACTGGATGTTGTTAATGAGATTGCTCAAACTACTGTTTTAATTTTTTTATTGCTGCAAGATAAAAACACTCATTTAGTTACTTTGTACAAAAGAGATGATAGTTTTAGCAAAGCTAAGCTGAGCAAACACTTGGCTTTGTTAAAAAGACCTTTCTGTGTAACTAGGAAGGCTACATTAGCACTATCAGAACAGGTGAACAATARAATGTACTACTAACTACAGTACTGTGCAAAAGTCTTGAGCTATTTATTGTCCTGAGTCTTAGGTGTGGCTGAGTGTTTAGAGCAGTTGTCCTTCACTGAGAGAGTTGGAGGTTTGATTTCACACCATTCAGTCACGTGTCAAAGTGCCTCTGGGCAAGACACTGAACACTTCTTCTGATGTGTGTCCCATCAGTGCATGYATGTSATTTAAAGATAAGTTCTAAAGAGCTGTTATCTGCAAATTTTCTGAAAATAAAAAAGTCTCAGCATGGTTTGCGATGTGTCTTTAAACGACCTAAAAGACAGACACAACAAGACTGGGYTAAAGATGAGTAAAACTGCAGCCACAGTTCAAAGAAAATCTTTTCAAATGTGCCTTAGAAAAGATCAAAACTTTCTAAAGTAATTACAAGAATGCCTGGCTCCTTTGAAGAAAAACCTAAAGAAATGTGAGGGAGCTCATCTTTTGTAAAGAAGCCTAATGTATCTCAAAATGTTGAAATATTTCTTTAAGCTTTTTGCATCTGCAGGTTTAYACATTATCATGGTACTTGTTATGTTTTTGTTGCATTATCATCTCTTCTTGTTTAAATTCCCTATTTTCTTTATTTCTGTTTCTTCCATACCGCATTTTTTTCATACCTTTACGCTTACCATGCCAATCCTGTTTTCCCATTTCACTCACTCTTAATTCTGTGTCATCCCATAATTGTTTTATACCATCCTTGCATCTTTCACTATGCTTTTATGTGGCTGGTCCATCAGATCAAGATGCCCAGGAGGAAGGTGAGAAACCYTCTGTGATTCTTTTATTTAAAATAAAATAATGTCCCCCTCCCAAGCTCAAAACCACATTATCTAACATGTTCAATCTATTCACGGAAATCTAAAAAACACRGACCCTCAGTGTTGAATGAACAGTCACACTTTGTTAGTGCATCTCTTACACAATTTCTTCTCAAACACTGTATATGTTTGTGAAATTTTTTAGAGCTTTTATCAAATTCTTGTGTAGAAGTTTTCACTAAGTATTTTGTCAATGAGTCYGAGCATTTTTGTTTTGTCCTAATTACTAACAATAACTTGTCTTACATCTCTTCTCAGTTCTTTCTTATTAATTGTTTTATTTAATATTTGAAGAAAAATATTCAGCCCTTGAGAAAAATATATACCTTTTTTGCTCATTTGTGCTTTTTTCCCCCCACAGAGGAGGAGCGCCCCAAACCCAAGTATGTTCAGTAACCATCTGTCTGCAGAGCGTCTCCACATTCTCTGTCTGTRTGTTCCTCTCTCTTGCTTTAAAAAAATAATTAATAAATAAATAACTTTCTTGTTTTTCTTATCAGACCTCTGGTGCCRCAACTTGCTCCTCCAAAAATTCCTGAAGGAGAAAGGGTCGATTTTGACGTAAGCTAAGACAAGAAAAATTTACTCAAGGCAACTTCTAACTCCATCAAAAAACYACTTTTAACAACCTCTGCTACTGAAGCTACAGCTTGGCAACAGGAAGTTAACAGCTTTTTAAAGCACGTGTTACTGGATCTGACAACACCTTACTCGGTTATTGGTTTAGATCAACATGCAACCTGTTCAGCCCAGACTATGTTGGCCCGCGCACAAATAGACCTATTGACAATATAAATTTAGATTGTTGTATATATTTTTTTGCCATCTTTAGTGATAAGTGCTGCCTTTAACACTTTGGACACTCACTCTCTCTTACGTTACTGATGTTATTGTGCTCAAACTTGTACATATAGAAGTCTATTTAATGAATTGTGCATCATAAATGCTTTATCTCCAACAATGTARAACATAAAATYTTAAYTAAATCAGAACTTTCTTTCTTATCTGTTGCATAAACACAAAGAAAGCACCCCACTTATTGCTATCCTGAACACACTAATTTTCATACAAAATCTACCTGCCTCCAGTTGACAATCAGTCTTAGTATATTCATTGAATGTTACAATTTTAGACATTTGTTTGTTTTCTAAATAAAATGTTCTATGAATTGTTGACAAAAGAATGTAAACTATTAATTTACTGTCCCTTATTGACCATTTCCAATGAAATTGGAAAATTGTGTAAATCTTTAATAAAAACAGAATGATTTGCAAATCTTTTTCAACTTCAGTTAAATACACTACAAAGACAATATAAATATACATA